GTCATGAAGTACTTCTTCTAGTTATATGGTTATTAAATAATTTTTTAAAATAAATTTAAAAAAAGATACAAAATAGGGTCTTGTCTTAGTAAATGAAAAATACCTGTATTTCAGGACAACTCCGCTTATCTACAATGTTCCCTACAGTTGCCAAATTTCTTAAGTTTATGTCGGTTTTTCTAGAGATTAAAAAATAAAGTTGAAAAATAGGACTCCTTAGTTCATTTGAAAGATATAGAACCTTTCAGCAATTAAGATTCTTAGCCAGGCGTGGAGGAGCACACCTTTAATCACAGTACTCAGGAGGCAGAGGCAGGTGATCTCTGAGTTCAAGGCCAGCTTGGTTTACGTAGGGAGTTCCAGGCCAGCCAGGACTACATGAGACTATCTCAAAAAAAAAAAAAATCTTACAGAAAGAATGCATGTGGATTTTTAACAAGAATCTATACCAAATGTTAAGTGGTACTAACTCTGGATAGAATGCTAGGAAGTTTGTGCCTTACTGTTTCCTACATGTTCTAATTTTACATTTGTAGTAAAGACAAATGTGGCAAATCAGAATTGGAGAAGCATCTTTCATCACCACCAGAAGGTAAAAGTGAAAAGTAACTCCTTTGGAGGGACAGTAAGAGGGTGAGACAGATGACTGCAACTTCCAGGACAGCCCGGGGTACACTGTGCACACAGGGAAACCCCACCTCATAAAACAAGGGAAAATGTAGTCAAGAGGCAAGGTGAGGACAAGAGATAGTTGCCTTCTATTCTAAAACCTTCCATAGCAATTTATTCTTAAAAGATTTTAAAATTTCATCTATGTGTGTGTATGCACACATATGCAGGTGCCACAGAGACCAGCAGAGGATGTCAGATCTCCTGGGAGTGACAGGTGGTTGTGAGCTGCCTGACGTGGTTGCTGGGAACCGAACTCTGCAACAGCAGCAAGTGCTCTTAGCCACTGAGTCCTCTCTCCAACCCCAGTATACTTAAGATTTTGTTTAAACAAAATTTATTCTTGAACCAGGCATGGTTGCTAATGCCTGTAGTCCTGGTACTTGGAACATTGATGCCAGAGAATCCAAGTTCCAGGCCACAGATCTTGTTTAAAATGTGTTGTTTTTTGTTTTTTGTTTGGTCTTTTTGAGACAGTGTCTCTCTGTAGCCCCAGCTGTCCTGGAACTCACTATGTAGACCAGACTGGCCTTGAACTCACAGAGATCCACCTGCCTCTGCCTCCTGAGTGCTGGGATTAAAGGCATCCACCACCACACCCAGCATGTATCTATGTTTTTAAAAACAGGATACATGAATATACATGCATGTATACATGTAATATGTACACATATTTAAAATAGGACACATACATACATGTATATATGTAATATATCTATGAAATTCTTGAAAGCAGACATGACTGCTGCTTCCAACTATTAATAAAAGCATTACTTCTCAGAAACCTGCTAGTTGTGGTCTGTAATTAAAGCTCATTACATCATGTATACTCTCATGCTAGAATCATAATTGAATATTACAAATGTAACTATTACAGAATAGCTTTCTTCCTAGGCCAACAACATTTTAATTAAAAAGAAAATACACATTTAGATTTAAAAGAAAAATGAGAAACATAAAATACAAACAAAAGCAAGTTTATTTACAAACATTAAAATATTTACAACAGCATAAATAGTACAAGTTCTTCTGTAACTGATATGGAAGTCAGGAGACCTCACTTTCAAATGAGCATTTTTCACTCTGAAATGAGACATATTCAAAATCTGTTGTCTTTTTCTTGAGACAGAACAATCTGCAACCCCAGCGGTTTAGAGTTCACTACTGGCCTGAAACTCTCAGCAATTCTCTCAGCCTCCCAGGTGCTGGAATGACAGGTGTGAGCCACCACACCCAGGCTAGCGGCCTGTTAGAAATGCTTTTCTAAATAATCCCTGGAAGCCCATTAGTGACATGTACATGGGTCATTTCCCTCCAGTCTTATTTTGGAACTACTATGCACAAATCCAGCACAACCAGGACACAGCACTAGACTTAATGAAAAAACCTTTTTTCCAACAGTAATTTCTGACTAATCTCCAAACATTTGCCTAGTGCAGAAGATATAAAAACCATGGTTTGGGGCTTTAAAAAGAAAATCCAGTTTGATTTCTAATGGGCTGCACAATTCCACCATAGCCAGCATTTTCATGACTATTCCTTAGGGCTCAGCGCTTTGTATTTCCCTGTTAGCAGAGCTCTGTAGCACTTGCTCCTCTAAGCTGCATCTTGTTTAATCCGAATCACTACTGCTGCTAGAAGAGTCTGTTGACATAACCTCGACATCGTCTTCATTTTCTTTATTATGCCCAGGAGGTTCCAGTAGAAAGTCATTGCTGTGATTTGGTGGCAACATATTCATGGACATGTCATTTGACTGCCACGGATACTGAGGAGCAAGGACATCTGGAGAAATAAAAAGCATGCATGAGCAGTCTCCTTGCAGTCAATCTACTTGTTAACTACCCTTCCTTTTAAAAACTATGGCAGTTCTATCCATCTTGTGGTGCCAAGGATCAAACAAACCTAGAGTTTCACACATGCCTAAACAAACACACAGAGCTGTATCTACATTCCCAGCCCCTGAAACAAGATTAGGCTAGAAAGAGAAAAATCAAATATTTGGTCAAAATAAAGATGAATGAAAGCAGGATATCTTATCAACTAGAAACCTATTTTTAAAAAAACTAAACATTGGGGCTTGGTGGTTAAGAGCACTAGCTACTCTTCCAGAGGACCAGAATTTGGCTCCCAGATCCAACATGGCAGCTAACAACAGTTTATATAACTCCAGTTCTAGGGGACCTGACACCCTCTTCTGACCTCTGCAGGTATTACACACACACAGGTGCACATGCAGGCAAAACACTCATACACAGGCTGGGCATGGTGTCCCATGCCTTTAATTCCAACACGCAGGAGAAAAGGCAGGTGGATCTCTGTGAGTTCAAGGTCAGCCTGCTCTACAAAGCAAGTTCCAGGCCAGCTGGAGGTACACAGTGAGACCCTATCTCAAAAGACCAAAACCAGCCAACCAACCACTCTTACACATAAAATAAAAATAGTTATAGGTAACAATATTATAATGGATTTGAATTATTTCACAGACCAGAGAGGGACCGCTATTGTAAATGACTGATCAAAGAATTTAGTAGCAATGTGTGTACAAGATTTATCTTATGAAAAAGTACCCAAGTCACACAAGTCTATATTTCTGAAGAAAAGGAACAGAATAAAATAGGTATAGTTCAAGACAAAGAGAAGGCAGATTTAACCCAACATAGTGGTATATGCCTGTAAATCATCACTTAGCAGGAGACAAAGGAAGATCAGCAGTTGAAGGCTAGCCTGTGCTATGGAAGACCCTGTGTCAAAGAAAAAGAGGCAACATAAAAAAGGATCAAAAGGAGGAGTTATGGTTCAGGGGCTGGCTCAGTCTGAAAAGCACAAGGACCTAGTCTGATCCCTAGAATTCACCAAATAAGCTGGCATGGTGGCACAAGCTTGTAATCCCCATGCTGGGGAGATGGAGACAAAGGATTCCTAGGGCTTTCTGGCCAGCCAGTCTAGCCTAATTGGTGAGCTCCGAGCCAATGAGAGACTCTGTCTCTAAGGAGGCACAAGGCATTCCTGAGGATGACCCAGTTAGCCTCAATCTACTACTCTCCACCTTAACCTGGAACCTAGTTCTTTGTAGCGACTGCAATGTCCAGCTCTGTCAGTAGAGGGTGCTGATGGGACTCTGCCAATCTGCAAGGCCTGGTGAAATGCAGGTGGAGTGGTGCTCACCTCCGCAACTTTGAGCAGCCTCCTAGTAGACTGTGCTACAATCTTAAAGGGTGGGGTCCCAGTAAGTGTCAACCCCTGTGTTAATTCCTGCTTGTCAGCATGACTGAGACACCTCATCAGACTGCTCTGCCATGGAGTGGGCCAGGGCTGAATAATCCTCTCTAACAAAGGCAACATACGACTGTCAGCTTTGGAATAGGTAAGGAGGTCCTGTCCTTTCTGCAGGTCCCATGCCCTAGTCCTAGATAGAAGAGCAGTTGCTCACGTCTATCAATCCTATACTTTAAAAGGGGCTTACTCCTTAGTAGTCCCAATTCTTTCAATTTTCCTGTTCAAGTTACCAGTGTGGTCAGCCTCACTACAGGACTGTGACCAACAGTGCAGTGCAATCACTGCAAGGAGGAGGAGTGTTTCTAGGGAAATGACCATACACAGTCCCCAAATTTCCCAATAAGCTAAAAATAGGGATCCAAAAGGGAAATTTCCCTCCTTTATGTCATTTTCTACTTTAGAAATGTCCTGCCACATTAAACTGTGGCACCTACAAAACCTGTTCATTATTCTGTTTGTAGTGCACACCTCAAAATTGCAAAAATGCTGTTTAGAGCAATGATGAAAATGGAAAGATCCACAGCCTGAGGAAAATGGCAGGAATAGCTAATCACAGGTAAGGGACAGAGGAGCAACTGGTCTAATTTCAGAAGCTCTATCTCGCAGTCTTTAAATGGAGCAAGCATGGAAAAGGGTAACTGGCCGAGAACATGGCTGTTTAGTTTGGGCTGGAATCTCAAGAGCTGGCCACTGGGACAGCCCATCACTGGCACCTCGGAAAGACCTTGGTCTGTTGAGAGCACCCTTCCAATTAACATTACCTGGCAGTCTACCTGCTGCAAGGGCATCTCCTGGCAGATGACCGTTTACACCATTTGTGGAAGGGTTGTTCATCTGACCCAACAATCCACTTCTCATCTCTAAATCCGTTGGGTACGGCCTCCGTGGGTCCCCTAAAACAATAAAGATTGCTTTTAACTCCACTGCATTTTCTGAAAGTATCAGTATGTTCTCTGTTCATGGTTCACACTCAAAAACATAAGCTATTTGTTGGGTTTTGTTTGTTTTCTGAGACAGGAGTCTCACTATGTAGCCCATATTGGCCTCCAACTTGCAATCCTGCCTCAGCCTCTCAAGTAGCTGAGATGACAATATGTACTATCATGTCTGGCCTAAAGCTATGTTTTAAATTTGGACACATAACATTTATTCCTTCAGTTTCTAAGGAGGTAATATATTAATTTTTTAACACTATTTCTTCTCGGAATCCTCCCAGAAATATAGTATTATTTATGTTTGCAAAAGTGAGAAGTCATTCCAAATGATGATTTAAGTAAATTATAATAATCTCAATTCTTCTAAGTTAATTGCAGTTCCTAGGAAGAAAAATAATTGTACTCCCAGGGAGAATAGATCAGGATATTTATATGCTAGAAAGGACCAGATAGTTACTAGGATTGTCTAAACTAAAACCTTTCTCCAATCAGCTTATTGAGTATGGTGAACTACTAAACTGGGGGTGGTGGACACACCTGCCATCCCAGCATTTGAAAGGTGGCAGCAAGAAAATCAAGAGTTCAAGGTCATCCTCAGGTGCATAGTAAGATAAAGACCCTATCTCGAATAAACAAAAAAGACTCATTCCTGTACCTTCCTTAGTTGTATCAGGAGAACATACTGTCCTTACCACCAAGAGGGGACTTAGTAGCAGTTTGGGGTTGACACAAGCACGTCGAGATTTGGTAATGTTTCTTGCCAACCTCCACCTGCAGTGGCCATTAGTGCTTTCAGTGGTCAATCACCACCCTCAGGAAACTCTTATTCCTCTAAGGAGGCTGCTGCTCCAGCGTAGGGCTCCCATCTTACATTTTACCCACTGTTGATGTCATCTGTATTTCTCCTACTTCTAAGTATTCCAGCTCTTTCCAGGGCTGTGTATGCTACTGGATGTCCTGGGACTGTCTCTCAGGCTGGGTCCTTTGTAGAAACAGTAATGGCTCTGGAGAATTGGCTTCTGGCCACTCTGCATTTTAGAGGCACACAAATCTATTCTGTTGGAAGTATTACAGATAAACCATTTTCTATCATGCTTGGCAAAAACAAAATAAAGGAAATGGAAAATTAAAGCACCCTCCGTTTTGTGGATGGCTACAGCTCTCTGGAAAGACACCTACCAGTAGCTAAAAAATCTTGGGCAGCAGGCAGCCTCATTTCTGTGAGTCTACAGTGGCATGGGGAGGGGGTGGGGGGAGATGACATTACTTACATGACATTAAAGAAATAAAATACCTTTATTAGCAGATGCTATTGTTAAGTTCTACATTTAAAATACTTTTACATAGACACCTGAGTATTTTCAAACCACACTATTCTGATATAGAGAAACATTATTACCTGGAACCCAGGTCAGTGGTGCACACACAGCATTGCTTGCACTGATCCTATGTGCATATTTAATGATTTCTTCAGAGGAGATAGCACCTGAGATGAGGAAACACTACAATAGTTTAGTAAACGGCACATAAGATACTTAACTTTACATGATCTGAAAAATAGGATCACCTCAGCCATCTATCTTCCCTAACAATGCCTGCATATACACTTTAACTCTAGGTTACAAATATTCCCAAACTAAAGAACAAGACCCTCATTCAGCAAAATCAGCTAATATAAAGAGACAAATCTGAAGCCAGCATTCTAATGCTCAGTAATCTCAGTTATTAGCTACCATCAAATATTGAAACTCTTCTTAAAGCAACAGCAACTGCACACGGGGGAGCAACCCTTCATTCCAGCGACACCCAAGCTGCTAAATCAGCAGAGTTCACTCTACTAAGGTAATCAGCAAGGCCTGAGTGGACCACAGCCAAACATTACTAGTAGTTTCCTCTGACAAATGAGAACAAATTACCTTTCATTCTGTGAACTTTAGACCTGTTTCAGTGTAATAAAGTACTATGTATATGTGGGCTAAACTTTCGAAGAATTAACACAAAACCAAACCATGGTCTAGATGCCTGATAGACTCAGACACCTCTCCCAGAGAGGTGTTTCAGCTAACTCTTAGAGAATGTTAGCTGTTTTCTTACATGCAGCAATCAAAAAGGAAAGGTGGCTAAATATAAATCAAATATACAAAGTATTAAATTAACTAATTAACTAAACTTTTCATTAAAAGTTTATTCTTAATATGTAAACTAGAAGATCTACTGAGTTCAAAAAGGAAAGGTGGCTAAATATAAATCAAATATACAAAGTATTAACTAATTAACTAAACTTTTTCATTAAAAGTTTATTCTTAATATGTAAACTAGAAGATCTACTGAGTTTACAAAGAGCTTCTCAAGAGAGAGAGAGTAAAGCAGAAAGGTGGTGTGCTGGCACCTAGACTTCATGGTATTCCTCAGTCTGATGGTCACTCTATCACTCTCTCTACTTAGCCTCAAGATCCAGTTCAAATCCCACTTATCTTTCCTTCCTCCAAGTTTTATAAACCACTGTCTTTATTATAGGTGAGCACAAAGTCATAGATTCCCTTCCAGTCATTAGTGCTTCCTACAACCACAGGGGTTCTGATACCTCTACCTCCCTCGAATTGTCAACCACGATACTAGAACATAATATACTTTATAATGAAAATCATTGGGCATCTTTCCAATAGTGCCCAATCAGTACTACTTTTATCTTTAATATGTGTGTCTACGTCCAGCTTTATGCAGGTTTTAGGGATCAGAACATAGGTGCTCATACTTGCATGGCAAGCACTTCACACATCCATTATCAGGTTCTTGAGACAAGGACCTGTGTTCTCAGTCATCCCGTCCTCCCATGGTACTAACCTTTTCTTGCTTTCTCTATTGACTTGAGTTTCTCCTTTGCTTGGTAAACAGCTGTTGCCTAATTGAAACAACATTAAAAATATAACTTATTCTTAACTCTATCAAGCTTTTTTTTGTCTTTTTGAGACAGGGTCTCCGTGTAGCCCCAGCTGGCCTGGAACTCACTTTGTAGACCAGGCTGGTCTTCAAGTCATAGAGATCCACCTGCCTCTGCCTCCGTGCTGGCATTTAAAGGTGTGTGCCACCACGCCGGCAATCAAACATATTTTAAACTTAATTCACAAGATCACTTAACCACAGGAACAATTTGCAAGACTTAGAAATCCCAGAAATTTATCTGTAATATTCTGAAACACCATGCAGTATCATTTATAGTTTATTATATGTTATATTTAACATATAATAAACACATTCATGACCTAATCTCCCATTAACCAACAGCTGGATGCATGTGATATGTAAAGAGAGGGAGGGAACACTAGGACTGAAAAGTTTAAGCAGGGATGGGAGTTGGGGGATAGTGGGAGATGGTGGAAGAGATAAGGGGTGGTTAACCAAAACTATGGATGTATGAAAAAGTCATATGGAAATGCATTTTGTAAGCTTATTGAAAAATATAATTTAAAAAATTAGTAAATAAAAATAAACTTAATCACTAAAAATAAAAACCATCAACCCTCAAAAGCAAATAGTTGTTAGAAACAAAATATAAATCCAAGCATTTGCTACATTTTTTTTTTGTTAGGTCATTTATCATTTATTTCATAAACATGCAAAAGGAATTTGGAGTATGTACCTATCCTTCACATCTAGTTCAAGAATAAAAATATCTAAAATGTGTTTTTCCAAGGCATGGTGTGGTGGCACTCACCTCTAATCCTAGTTCTTTGGAAGCTGAGGGTGACCTTGATTTCCAGGCCAGCCTTCACTATGTACTGAAACTCTGTCTCAATGTGTTATGTGTTTGTGTGTATGTGGGTTACCTCAGTGCTTAATGAAACCTATCAGAAAAGCACACTCCTCCTCCCCAAGCTAAACTAAAAGGCAAAACAAAGCTAAGGATATACATACATATATATCCTCATCTATCAGCACAGCAGTTAGGATTATGAAGCTACACACTGGAATTCAATGTCCATCTCTGTCTAAGCTTCATTTGCCATTTAAAGTCTTGGTTTCTTCATGTGATAAAGACAATCACATTTTAGCAAACTTTTATGAAGACCGAGATGAGGCATGTAAGATGTGCAGCATAGGGCCATACCTAGGTACTCTATCCATTTCAGCTGTCACTATTTACCCAGAAAACATTCTTACAGTCCTCCTGATCTCTGCCTTTATTTTATTGCTGCTGTTGTTCGGAGGCAGGACCTCAATGAAGGCCAGGCTGGCCTTGAATTGGATGTGCACTGAGACTGGTCTTGACATCCTGATCCTCCTGCTTCCACTTCCCAAGTGCTGGGATTACAGGCATATACCACCATACCCACCTTTTTAATTCAGTAGTTACATTCTTGGATATGTAAAAAGGAATATAAACCAAATTATTCATCTATAAGGATATTCACTAAAACATTAAATATTTGGAAAATGCTCAAGTTTAAAACAACAGTAATTAAAAGTTTTAGAATATGCTGCTCACAGGCCCAAGGACATTTTGACTTTTAGCCAAGAAACTGCAAAAATGTCAAAAAGTTATTTGGGAACTTGTATCTAAACCTTAAAAGATTTTAGGGTTGTTGCTTCCTGGGCTGCACAGCCTCCAGTGTCTTGGTACCAGCACCTTCCCTGGTTAAGTCCAGCGCACCCTGACTCCCCCAGCCTCTTTCACCCTCCCAACTTCCCTGGTAAGTCTCTCCTCCTAGGCTGGGTACAGGCCCATTTCTTGTCTTGACACCCCAGACACCGGGGCTAACATCTCGACCCAGAGCCACCACTGCTTCCTGATCCTTTGTATCCAGACCTACCCAGTTCCTCCCTGTGGCCCCAGGAACCCTCTAGGCCTGGCCCCGCCCTCACCTTCCTTTACCTCCCTGGGTGGCACAGCCACCAGCTTCCTGAGACCAGCATCTATCCTGGGCCCTTCTCCCAGGCCAGCCAAGCCCTCAAATTCTTGAGGGCAGCATCTTTCCTGGAGGGACCCATACCTTAGGAGAAAGCCTGATATCATCTGAGCCTCATCTCACTTGGGCCTCTGTGGGAACTCCTGAAGACAAAAGCAATTAGGCCACTCCAATATAAAATCAAAAGAGAGAACCTGAAGCCTAGACCATCCAGCTTTTCATGCCCAACAAGTAAACCACAAAGGCACATAAAGTTGACAAAAATAAGCAGATCTAAACTCAACAAAGGAAGGCTTGAGTCTCCCACAAGAATCAGAAACTACAAAGGAAATTCACATGTCAAACTCACAGCAAAAAAATAACATAAAAACCCAAATAATATATCCCCACCAAGTATCAACAGTCCTGTAGAGGAGTACAATGAAAACCTCCTAGAGATAACACAAGACATGGAATTCAAAAGACTGAATGAATTCAGAAAAGAGTTAGAAATATTGAAGAATACTCAGGCTGAAATGAAGAAGGAAATGAAACACAGTAAGCCAATTAGAAATGACAGGAGAAAGCCTCACCAATAGGAAGAATGAAATAAAACAGAATATCAAGACTGGAAGATAAAGTGAACAAATTAGACCACTCAAACAAAGATTATGAAAAAAACCAAACTTACAAATCACAGGCATTCAGAAAGCCAGAAATCGATCTACCGTATGGATCCAGCTAGACCACTCCCAACAAC